CGGCGATATGATCATGCAAAAATAAACATTTTTATTAGGCTATATTGTTTCCATTTACTTCAACGAATGCCCATTTAGGTTGAAAGAGGAACGCGTTGGTAATGTACTAAGAACTAAAATAACGGGATTAAATTTACACGAACATTGACCAAATTTCACGAGTGTATTTAGCGATCATTCGAAACCCACAGAGTTAACGGTGAAATTCGAGAGAAGAAAATTCCAGATAACGCGATAAAAAGAGGAATCACTCGTTCTTTGTTTTATTTTAATCCACAATGCCATCTAATTATTCTTAATCCACAAGATATAGTTACACACGATAGAATGAAAATTATCTATGAATAACGACATACGAACGCACAAAATCGGTTAAGCGTTTAAAACAATGTTATCCACTTGGGCCGATAAGCCGATTCCAATTGCTCGAATTAACGTCGTAATCTACCTTTATTACTCATCCTGGTGAATCGGGAAACGTTAGCACCGCTGACCACTTCCTTCTCCCTTATTAATACGTTATCCGTTCTCTCTTCTGGAAATTATTTCAACGTTGAGAACATTTCTCGCGAAGGATAATGTATCGTAGCCACGATGAAAGTTTATTGCGATAATAACGCATATCACAAGCAGGCGGTTGAAATAGCGCATCGATAATTGGTAAGACAAGAAAGAAGAAACGTCGCTCGTGATTGAATATACCGTGGCGTATCCTTGTTTAAGCATTTCCCCTTAAAGTAAACGAAGGCATCGTTAAAAGGGTTGGTTGGAGGGAGATCGAAGCCGCAATCCGTTCGTCTTAGAAAACACCATTATCGCGAGAAACGGGAATAGTTGAGATATCTATTGTGAAGATAACGATGTCGGTCCCGAATGACGAGTGCTATTGAATCAGATCTCCGATAAAGCTTCTAATATAGTCGCGGGGGAGGTTTATTATCGCTTTTCGTGCCATTCGAACGTATCTATCAATCCATGTGTGACGCGTCGGTACAGCTTGCATAAACGAGTCAAACTCGATATATTTTCTTCCATAGAATGATTTCACATGTCGTTCAGTTAGAATCGTAATCGAACTCATTTACTCTTTTCAGTCGACTCGCTTATTGTCTCAATATATGAAACGTTTTTAAAGCAGCAAGCTTGAATTATTATTAAACTGATGCTTTTTGATGTAACGTACTATCCCGAAGAAATTCCTTTTTAAATTCTTGCTTTTCACATTTTTTTCCAAATTAATTGTAATTTTCAGATTAAGTGTTTTTTTATTTAATCTTACACGACATTACAATCGTACAACGACATTGTACAACGTTAGAAACGTTGGTCTAATTTCAACGATCTCAGTGAACATTCTTTTCTTCCAAGCATCTTCACTTTGTCTTTTTCCACGGTGTATGTAAAAATTATTCGCATAAGGAGAAGATTATTGATTTATTCGCCTACGAGGTAAAGCAAGATAACCCGCTCTCCTCATGACCGAAAGCGACTCTTTCTACTTTTTCATCGATTTGCCGAAGAAATTACTCTTACACGCTATCTCAGGATAGTTCGTTCTCGCCGTTCTCAGAAGTGGGAGAATTATGCGTTTGCATTCTATGAAAGGCCAACTACCAGTTTCTGGAGCTCCTTTCGGCTCTTGTCATTTGTCTTCCTCCGAGATAGAACCAAAGTTTCAAAGAGCTCTCCAAGTTGCGTCCCAGGCGGTTACCAGAGAACGCCTCCCTAAATTTTCTCGTTGTAGAAATTAATGGTGAAGCTAGTTTGTAAAATCTTCGTTAACCGCCTCTCCCGCCCTCCCTTCGCGCCAAGTCTGTTAGAATCTATGTTTCGATAGTTTCGCCGCGAGCAACTAGAACCGATCTGAACAGGAATGTACGCCTTAAGAACAATGAGAATCTACTGGTTACTTGAGTAGTTGCACGAAACTTTGAAAAATATAGCTATATACTTAAGAATTTAGAGGACAGGAAAATGGAGGAATTTTCGTAAGGCTTTAATAATAAGAAATTATTTGTGTAGCAAGTTTGAACGTTTCTTTTAGTCGCGTCAGAGGTTTACATGTATCCACCACATGCAAGAAGGAGATGGGATTTTTAGCGAGTATTACCGTCAACACCATAAGTAACAAAGTCCAGTATAACCAGGAGGTACGGTCACTGCCGGGTATGCGTAATCTGCACTTTTCCTTCCTGGCAAAAACAAAGAAAAAGAAAGTTTAATCGTTTCGGATCGATTTGTACAGATATCGTAGATGATTGAATAAGCCTGAGAGTTTGAGATTGTTGCAGAGTGAAGAGGGTGCAAGAATTATAGGTATGAAGATCAGATCGTTGAGCTTTGATAATTAAATGTTGCAAGTTAGAAATTGGCAGGTAAAAATTGGAGATTGCAAATTACGAATTGGAAGATGAAGACTATAACGGAAATATTTTTACAACTAATTTTATTCGTGTCTTAACTTTTACAAATGCGAATGCTATTGTTATCCAAACCAACCAGACTCAGTTCGGTATATGCAACTGCACATGACATTTGTATGTTTGCTAGCTAAATCAAAGGTTGCAAAGACCCTTTGTAATTAAATGCTATTTCAAAGACTGTTGTAGCTGTTCTCTATTTACGCAATACTCAATTAATTTCTCTGCTTCTGTAATTTAATTACCTAACTGCAGGTATCTCTCGATAAATCTCGATGTGAATTCATTTCTTCTTAGCAGTTCTCCCTTCCGCGTCAAGTAATGGAATATTGAAACTGATACGATATTCATTTTTTAATTGATAGATAGCGAAACACCTGAGTTTTCTACATTTTCTACGCGTTTAGATATACAGAGTGTAGAAAAATGTTGGAGAAAAGCTTTGGGGACGTGTAGCATTTATCGAAATAAATAAAAAATAAGTCTTGGGAAACGTGGATCCAAAAGCCGCTAGTTTCGGAGTTATGAGATGTTTAGCGTAAAAAGGTACATTGTATAGTAAACTAGTTGCTTTGTTAGATTAGATAGTTGATACAACGAATCGAAAAACACTGCCATGACACAAGACAAATGCCGGGGATCGACGTGTGCGTGCTTCTATGAGAAAACGTGTCGAAGTGTGTGTTGAAATGAACGGGATACATATTGAACATATATTGTAAAGGTCTTACCGACAAAAACGTCTTATAGCTCGGAAATTAATGGCTTTTGGATCCATGTTTATTAAGATGTTTTGCTTGCTTTGATGAGTGTTATATGCGCCTAAAGCTTTTCTCCTACTTTTTTTCATACCCTGTCTATGTATGTACATTGGTCTAGCGTATAACATCGTTTCAATCTGCCAAGTTTTGGATAAATTCTGATAGGTCTCATAGTGTTTCGGAAATGTTTCTGTTTGCATGTTACGTAGTAGATTATACAGATACTTTACATTGTTTCATCTCCCTTCATAGTTCCAATTTCTACTACATAATCGCAAGGTACATACAACTATGAACTTGATGGCGAGTACGATTAATCAATGTAGAAACGAGGCAAGCTGCGCTGAACTATTGTACTTTGTGCCACGCATGTGGCTCGTTAAGAAACCGTTAGCATAATAGGGTGTAGCGTATGAAAGCAAATATAGTAGCACGTTTTAACAACACGTGATGCGGAAAATTGCGTTCAAATAATTCAAATAATATCTTCATAATTTATTCTTCATTCGCGGATTCCACCGATAATAAAGATCATAGGTGGCAAAATTTCGCATTGAACAACTTGTTCCAATGTGTGGCAATTTTTGATTTATTCTTTCTTTTTTTTTCTTCATTTATTTCATGGAAAGGAAATGAATATAAAAATGTAAATACTTTTTAATATACGTTTTTCTTTAAATTTATAACGCTATAATTAAAACATTGTAGCAAAGTACGAACGTATGAAAGTCGCAAATTGTGAAACAAATTGGCTTTTTGCGAATTGAAATTCCTTTCTGCGGAAACAAGAAAGACGTTTTAGAATACGAAATGACGACACATTAGACATTTAAATGGCGCGACGCGGGTTATTGAATCGGTACGGAAACACCTGGATCCGTAGGTTCAGGTGGCTGTTAGAATCTCTGCCAGTAGAATTTCTTTGTTTTACGGAATTGCTACGACATTAGAGGACTCTCAAAGGGATTCAATCTAAGTATCGTAGCAGAAGAAAATAGAAATTAATATATCTTACACTTTTTATGTAAAATGAATTAGTTGTTTCTTCCTAAGAAAAGTTCATTCTATCATTAGTTAATATCGGTTTCATTGCTATCTCAACGTATATTCTGGGTTTGCCGAAAGGAGTTAATGGTCGCTGTAGTATGGAGAGTATGCAAAATATGTTTGGCAATATCAGTATCTTTGTGCAAGACGTAACTCGATTATTTGGAAGGAATGTCGCTTGTTTAACTAATTTGAGAAGTGTACAAATGCTAGGTATCTTCGCTTAAGATAGATAGACGTGGAACTATGCCACAATTACGCATTAAACGTACTGGGATTTATGCCTGTGTAATAGAGATTCCTCCAGATTCCGCAGCTTCTACTAGACACAGTTGGTATAAGCACAGCGACAGATTGGGGAGAAGCGTTACAACATTTGATTAACCAAAGGTACTATGTTGTATTACAATTAGATAACTTTTTTTAGTATTTCTTAGTTTCAGTCATTTAAATTATACCATGTATCAATATAAATAGCACTTAACTAAATCTAACTAAAGTTGCAACTGTATGTGCAAATTTCAAAATGATTCCAATCTCAGAGAACAACTATTTTCGTAGCATATAGCTCAACTTACAATTTCCCGAGAGGGCCATTAACAGCCACTCGAACTAGTTACAGTGATCAAAGTTTAATTGCGCCTTCATTGAGTAGTTATACCTGCTGACTAAAGCTCTGACGACATGTACCATTTCACTAACATATAAATGTCACACACGTCAATTTTCTCTGAAGAAAAGATAGAAATATTCTTGAATAAAAAAACTGCAGTGGAATTTCGACAATTTATTGGTCCTGTACATTAAATTATACAGATCGTCTTAACAATACAGAGCGGGACAAGCGTATTCGGATAAATAGTTTTCCGCAGATATTCTATTTCAACAAATGTTAAGAAAGAAAATAATAGATAATACATTAATAGTTAATCATTAGAAAAGTATACAAAATTTATAAAAACGAATACAAATATTGAAATAAGAAACGAAATGAGGAAACTATTTTTTCGAATACATTTGATTCGATACTGTACGATGAGAACAAACTTATAACTAAGAAGATTCATATTCTTTATCTATCAATTTTTATAACGATTCTAAATAACGCAATATTTCTATATACAGTAAAAATCCATTTATCTGACTGAAAAGTTAATGCCCAACTAACTGATCCTTCGCCTGCTGAATTCATTTATTAGGTACTGGGCATAATTAGCGAAATACTATTATACAAACTATTTGTCTCGACGAGTTCAAATAAATAGAGTTTTATTGTAGTTCGAAATACAATGAAACGATTTACTCCAATAAAATCATAAGTGTTACGCCTATTATTTTCATTCTAAAATGGTTGTGCAGCCATTTTTTATAATCTGAGAAATGTTTTACTCATGTATGATATAAATTGTCATAGACACTGGTGTAAAAATTATATCTCAATCTTATACCTATGCTAAATCTGTAGTTTACAATGATGTAACTAACAACACAATCAATTTCAATCTACTGGACGTTCCCAATTTTATCCTCTTATATCTGATATACATATTAGACACTTTATATGTAAATGAACACATTTGAACAAAGATGAAATCAACAATGTAAATATAGGATTTCTGAGTACATAGTACTCAAAGTATTGTGCACAGTGTCACATAAGAAATTTAGTAGCTGTTATATACGTAACGTACGCTTTTCAGTAATAATAGGTTCGTTCTTTTAGGAAACTTCTTTTAGAACAAACAGAAAATGTAAAAATATATGATAACATGTATCATATTTCTCCAAAATACGTGGAGATGATACGTAACTCTGGTGAATATGTAATTTTCTTTTATTTACTTGACTCGTTTTTGTTGTCTTTGGCGATATATGTCATTTGCGGGTGGCGGTGGTAAGTCTTCTTCTTCGCTGTCATCACCTAAGCGCGTTCTTCTACGTTTAGATCCAATACTAACCCCATCGTTACTTTCGTCGACTATCCAATGTACGGATTTCGCTAGGTCAAACAATTTTGTATCACATCCGTTATCCGCTATCGGCAATGGGGCTATGTAAAAAAAAACCTTCTTTTAGAACAGAAATTCCATACATTGTTGTTATATTTTGATGAGTTAATTAAAAATGAAAATGACTCATTTGATAGTATTTGTAACCTTACCATGGTCAGGTAACTGAATTCGATTGAAAACATCCATGAGTAAATCAACAGCTACAAATGGTCCTCTGAAGCATCCCGGTGGAGGAAGCATGGTACAAAGTTGTGCTGCAGCTGGTGGCAATGGAAAAGATCCACCTATAAAAATTTTTTATCATGCATTATAAACAACTAGATTTAGATATAGTATGTTTTAATAAAGGAATTTACCTGGTACTGGATGCTCTCCAGGTAATGGATTTACTTTTGGTTTATAAGGTATCATTTGTGATATATCAGGTCTTGGCAATGATGCTATAGCTTCCTCTGGATCTGGTATTCGTGGTAATGCGCCAACTGTACTTCTTCCAACGCTGGATACTTCCATATATCCAATGGACCGTAACTCCATAGGAGTACATGGATATAGATCCAAGAATTTATATCTATCTACTAATTGTGCTGTTTCCTTACCTTCGAATTCTTTGATCTACAAAAGAAAAAAAAAATTAAAAATTGTATAAATTACAAACAGATATCAAATAAAGGTTATGCAGATCAATAATACCTTTTCTAATACAGCACTACGTCGTTTTTCAACTTTTACAATACTTGCTAGATCTCCAATATTAGATTCAAATTCTAAAAATCGGTTCCATATATCGCTGAAAATAATATTAAATACAAGATAAATATTAAGAGTAACCTTAGTTATAAAAATAATTCATTAATATTGTAAGCAAACAGATTTATTACTTACACTGATTTTTCAGGTTCTAAACTACCAGATGATAAAACTCTCTCGAATAAAACTCTTGTATTATTGTCCTCTGAAATATTAAACGCAATTAGAATTGAGATATGTAAAATATATGTAAATTTATTTCTTAAAAAGTTAGCTCACCATTCAAATGTGACAAGTAGTCAATATAACAAAGTATATAGTCAGGATTGTCCCCAAATTTCTTTAAACCTAATTCGAATATCCGAAAAGCAATATTTTTATCCTTCGTGCAATAATATTCCATTAATGCAGCAGCAACATATACATGATGTTTACATCTTGGGTCTTCGCGAGCTCTTTTAAAAACCGTTCTAGCCGATTTTATACCTTCAGCGCGTCTTGCGAATTTCATGTATTGTACATACGCCTACGAAATGGCATTCAATTTAATAATACTCAAATCATTGAATAAAATATTTAGTATTAACAAACAATAGATACTAACTAGTGTAGGGTCAATGTCAGGTATATCAAGGAACTTTTGATATATTTGATGAACTTTTTCATATTTTACTCTTCCTTCTTCAAAATCGGCATGCGCAAAGTATAATAACATATTTTTGGACAACAATGTACTTGTTGCTCTTTCAAACATTGTTGCTGCTTCATCGCTTAAATTTTTTGCGGCATTTACATCTCCTTTTTCTGTCAATATTTTTGAGCTAAGTTCTAAAAAATGTGCAGCTTGATGCCACACTGCAGGATGATGACCCAAACATAATAAACACTGTTCTATAGCAAACATTACTCTGCGAGCAACTAAAGAAGTATCTTCAGTTCTTAAAGGGTTACTACGTTCCCATGCAATATATTTCTTCCACAATTCAACCTAAAACAATAATATCATTTTGTTATGTTTAAACATTTATACCATAATATCTACAATTTATAATAATTGATATTTACAAAGTAGTTCAATAATTACCTGTTTAACTTCTTCTGGATGACCGGTTGGAGGTACACTAGGAGCACTTCGGTTCAATCCTCTTGTTACAGCTTCTAATTCTTTGGCAACTCGTCTTGCGTTCATATAATCTCTAGAACGTTCAATAGCCATTTTATCCGCAATTATTGGATTAATATTTTGTTCAAAAGCCATATAATCTTTCCATAATTGTTCCATATTTATCATAGGGTTAACTACACCTCGTTGATACACCTACAATTAACATCACCAATGTATGAAGCAAATCAATAAAATATATTAATATATAATCCAATAAGAACACATAGTTCGTTACCTTCCTCACTGCACTAATTTTTTGGTTCTCAGCATATGAACCAACAGCTTCCACACTTTTAAGGAATGTAACATAATCATTCCATATACTATAGGAATGGATATCCATACCTATTTTATCCAGTGCAAAGTCATATGCTTGTGCCATTTTTTCCCTATGAATAAATTATGTAATAAATCTTGCTGCAATTATTTTATTAAAAACATACTTAAAGATATAAATACATACTTGTATGTTGCAAGACTGGCTTTTGTTTCTTTCACGTAAGAAAGGTAAAGTTTCCACAACTCAATATTTAAGATTTTCATAAGGCACCTTTGGAAAAGCTGTCAGACAAAAGAAGTACTTTAGAGGAAATATAAGAAAATAGTGCGACATCAGTTAAAGCTCATTTAAGTGTGGTTACACAAAACATTACATATCTACCACCTTACTTACCCTTATAGGCAAGTCTTTTTTAAACACATATTTAAACATTATTGATAAAACCAATAAGAATCACATCAAAATATCAGGAAGTAAAAATTCAATAATTTATTAAGCAGGTCTTTAATACAATCACTACTACAATGTTGTTTGTATGTAATGGGAGAAATAATAATGCACCAGTGCATCAATTGAGAATGGTTTATTGAATAAACATGTTTTCATTGGGAAATAATTAGGAAAAAATTTTCCAGATATGAGATTATAAAGGTAACACAAAATAAACCCCATTGAATAAAAAGTTTATTTATTTTTTGGCGGGGTTAATAATATAATTGACCTATGTGGGATCTAGAAATGAATGATCCCAAAACATCATAAAAAAATTTAGACAATTTGAAGCAACATAGGGTGACAAAACATAGCAAAATTATATCATGATTAAGTATAGGAATTATTTGCCTCTACTATATATTATAAACATACAATGAATTAATATTTCAATGTATTCGTCACCTTATGCTACCTCTATAGAAATTTCACAATATTTGAAGCCTCAAATACTGTGCTGGGGGAAGGAAAATGATGTAATTCCCAAAGCATACTTATGAAATAATATCTAGAAATATTAATTGTCTCAAAACTACACATAATACTGAGACAAATATGTGTGTCACCAATACTTTCCTCATTTGCAAAGAGGTAGATATACTTTACACAAATGTAATTCAATCGAATTAATGCTTAATATTTGTTCATAATATTTTTATTTCATACTGTTCTTAATAAGATTTCTACACTTCATGTAATATGACTATTATTTTATTTTAAGTAACATAATCCAAGCACACTAAAAAATGTATTGCAGGAAGGAATACAAGGCTGTTACATTCAGAAAGTTGCCTTCGTAAGTTGATTTATACTAGTAATGTGTATTTATTATTATTAAGCTTGTTATATCAAATATATTCAATATATACATCATTCAACAAAGAAAACAACCTCCCAAATATACCAACAGATCAATTGTAATCAATGAGATATTTGTGTATGGTGAAATATTGTTTTTATTCACCTCATATAATATGAAAAGTGCTTAGAATCACATTGTATGATAATATTTGATCACAATGGGTTAATATCCTACCATTATTAAATGTAACCTTATTGCACTAAAAAATTAA